ACTTCACTTCATAGTCTCTCTCGGACTTGATACACCGACTCTTTTTACTCTACTCGCACTTCTTATCTTCTTCCTTCCTTCTTTCTCGTTTCTGGTCACATTTCTTTTCTCTCTTCCCAGATATCCCAGAACAGAACAGAACAGAACAAAGAAGTGATAAGTGAGCAGTTTACTACACCATACATACATATACAACATGCATGATGCATCAATAGGAAAAGAGAACAACTCCTCAAGGTTAGGTTGTGATTCGGCAGCGATGCGCGTACAATGAATGAATCGAACAAACAATAAAACAAATCATCCCTTAACACCATACCGCCCCATAAGAGCTAATCAGTACAGCAAATGACTTCTACTAATTTCAGGCAGCAAAACTTAAGCAAGGGGCCTCGTACTACTAGTGTGCTACTTTATTCAAGGCGAGGAGGTTGCTGACTCGTCCGCTATCTTCTACATACTGTAGCCTCATATGATGAAGATGCCAAGCCAGCATGCAAGCCACACAATCACGCTATGCAATTGCCCCACCACTACATTTGAAGGATTCATTTGATAGTAAAATAGTAAATAACACAACAAACAAGAACACACTGCAACCAAAGACAAAAAACGAATAGCAGACTGAATAATGAATACTACTAGTATTTAATCACAAGTAAATCGTTTCCACCGTAGTTTATCACAACTAAGTATTTCCATATGAACCAAATACAACTTAAACTGCCCAACTATTAATCAAATAACTAGAAGGGGAAGAACAAGCATAAGTACTAATTACCTTGGAATTATAAATGTATGAAGAGGTAAATGATACTACAGGATAAACATTGAGATTGCAAATATGAAAATATCCCCTGCTTTCATTGCGAATATGCTATGGTATGGTATGGTATGGCATGGTATGTAAGTTATATAAGATGATAACACAAGCAGCAACAGCAACAACAATAACAACATGATGCAAATGCAAAGATACTCCATCCAAATGATGAGATACACAAATCACCGCGGATTAACAATGATTCCTTGGATGTAGTAGCTAATGAAAAAAAAATAAAAGAAAAGGAAAATGAAAACTCCCGTAGTATAGTTAGTAGTGGTAGTGGTAGTGGTAGTGGTAGAAGTAGTAAGTATCCCGTAATAAAATGAGTTTGGTTTTATTCTTTCTTTCTTTTTTTTTCTCTTTCTCTTCTCTCTTCTCTACTTAAATCCACACTTATCTGCTTTAGTCATCAACATCGGTCTCTGTGTTCGTGTCGCTGGTATCTCCTGCATCTCCGTCGGTATCACTTTCGTCATCGTCGCTGGAGTCGTCAGAAGGCTTCTTGGTCTTCTTCTTGGGTGGTTGGCCGGTCTTGAGGGCTTGCATTTGGCCAGCTATTGAGTCTGTAGTTTATTTTGTGGTTAGTATAGGTTGATTTAATTAGAGAGTATGGGTTAAGGGGGTGGCTTACCCTCGTCAGGTTCACTGATATCATCCTCCTCATCCAGAGCGGCCGCCTTGGCCGGGTCGTCGATGTGAAGGGTGATTTCCATCTTGGTATCGAGACCCAGGTAGCTATCACAGAGCATGTTCATGACAAAAGTAAAGTCACCGACTTGGGGAGGAGCCTGGAACTGCATCTTGAGAGTCTGGACGTTGAAAGTGGGCTTGCCGTCGGCGTCGAAGAGGGGCTTATCGAAGGTAGTGAAAGTGAAGGGAGGAACGGCCATCTTGCCCTGCTTGGCGTCGGCCAGGAAGATATGCCACCGGGGCGAGTGGTCGCGGGCCAGGTAGGGGGCGTGAGCAAGGGGAGGCTGGATGGCTTCGACCTTCTCTTCGACCTTAACGCCGTTGACGAGCTTGGTGGTCTTGTTCTTGGCGGGTTTGCGGCCCATGATGGCGTCGAGGTCATCTTCGTCGGGGTCGATGTCTTCAAGGTCGGTGGGGTTGACTGGCGGGACGTCTCCGCTGTAGCCAGGAGGGATGAAGCGGGCCTTGACGACCAGTTGGACGAGACTGCTAGGAGTGATGACCTTTTCGCCCATGACCTTGAAGAAGGCACGGGAGACTTCGAGAACGGGGAGCTGCTTGGCAACGGTAACGGCGGAGGTGTACTGCTTCTCGGACATGAGGCCGGCACCGACAGTGAGGCTGCGACGCTTGTCTTCGGGGATGCTCATGAACTTCTGGACGGTGAAGTGTTCCTTTGCGTCGGCGCCTTCAACAGACTTGACGACTTCCTCGGTGAAGTGGGGGAGCTGCAGGAGAGGGGACGATTCAGGCGCAACAGCTTGGATGAGATGCTGGGAGGTCCGGAAGGAACCCAGGATGGGTCGGACGTTACCGAATGCCAGAGCGATTGCTGTGAAAGCTTCATTCAGCGACAGAGCGATTGGTGCAGCTTCGTACTTTTCTATAGGTACACCAGTGTTAGCCGATTCTAAAGAGACGCATTGGATGCAAGTTCACGTACCTCCGTTAAGTGTAGTGTCTTCCAGGTCAACGCGGCCGAGGTAAGCCCACAGCAATGCCAGAGCCTTGCGTCTGCTAGATTCGTCCAAACCCTTGATGATCTCGCGGTCCTCGGGCGACAGGAAAGTGGAATCCTCAGCCAGAACCTTCTTCTCGAGCTTGGCAAGTCCAGCATCCGTCTTAGGTCCCTGAAGCATTTCCTTGAACTCTGCGCCGGAGGACAGGGCATTGACGATGCCGCCATCGGTGATGTCCTCTTTGTATTCGCGGAAGATGTTTCCGGCACTTGCGACAAGAACCCGTTCCTTAGTGTAGCGCTGGGAACCATACCACCATTTTCCGACAATGTAGGGCAGCAAAACACCAAGCAGTGCACCGTAGACCAGCAGAGTGTACTTGGAGTTACCCTCCGAAACGATGAACGTGGGCAGAGCGATACCGATGCTCATGCTCTGCTTGCCATCAGGGTGGCCATACTGGATGTAGTTGTTGCGGATTTCCTCGTCGGTGAGCGCCTTGTATGCCTTGGTAAGCTCAACGAAACGTTCGTTGAGCATCTCAATAGTCTCATTCTTTGCGGGGTCCGGCCGAATCTTGTCAGGATGGTAGATAAGTGAAAGGCGCTTGTAGTGTCTCGAGATGGCTTTCTCATCAGCGCTCTGTAAGTCGCCATAGTTAGTACAGCTACGTAACCTATTGGTGGAGGCGACCAAAACGCCAGGTGGATAGATTGAATGCTCACCCTGGAAACACCCAGAATGTCATAAGGGTCCCAAACTTTGGGCACCGTCCTCGCGGTGACGACGATCAGGTAGGCCATCCACGCCATGACAGCGTAACCCACGACAACGGTGATTATGCGCTTAATGCGGCGCTCTTTGCGCAGGCGTTTGCGCTTCTGCGCCTCAATAAGCTCTGCATGTTCTGGCTTGAACTCGGACTTTATCCGGGGAGCGGTGTTTTCGAGACCTGCAGCGACATTGGAGAATTAGTACCAAGCAACCTTTCGGTGGAAACCTGGGAGTCTCTAGAGGGTATAAGGCTGGTACGAACCCTTGCTCGGCCGGAGAAGGTTATATGTGAGAGGGAGTGTGACAAGACTGGTGAGGGTCAGGACAAAGAACGGGAAAAATTGTCCCTAGTGAAGATGTCAGTTCGTGTGTTTCATTGGCTTCCGATCCAAAAGGCGACTGACCTTGTCATCGTAATTGTAGTCGGTAGACATGGTGAAGCAATTTCACAATGGACACGGTCGCCCGCAGCGGGCAGGACTGGAACAAAAAGAGTGTCTCCCGGACACTGAGTACGCTGCGTGACAGATATGTCCAGCAGATCAAGACAATTAGTATAGGATTCAAGTAGTATAATAGAGGAGCATTATCCCTCTGTCAGGCGTGACAAAAGAGTGTGGAAGGTGGAGGGAAGGTGAGAGAGCAGGCCGGAGTAACTGTCGACAAGATGGGATTATCCGCATCGGCGTCGGCTGTACCTTGTGATCGACCGTGTCCTTTACGGGGCCGTAGGGGGCTACACCGCCTGCCCGAATTGGATTGGTGGCTTGGTCCCAATTATTCAGGCTTTCAGGGTCATGTGCTTAGTTTTGGGTCTACTTTTGACTTTTAGCTAACTAGTCCTCCGTAAGGCGTGACTAGTTCGTCGATGACTCCATTGCGATGACTACATTTTTTCTTGAATGCTCTGTTGTATGAATGAATTATCATGGTGACATTTTTTTTGACTAATGTCAGGCCGTACATACTGATACTGTACAGCGCTCAGGTCTATCTACTAGGATACAGGAAAATCTCCGGGTTTAGGTATACAAGCATGTCACATCCAAGCTTCATTTCATCATAAAACTGGTATCCGTCTTTTTTGTGTATCCCAGGAATGGACAACTTTTAACGCCATCCCAAACTTTTTGGTAATTTTCGTTTCCTCATAAATTTCGAGCATCAGAGCCAGCTCTGGGTATTAGCGTGGGAACGGGGGTCCCCTACACGCTAGACAGACGGAAATGCAAAAAGAAATCCGCACAATGTGAGTCACTTACCCGCTTCGCAGGGAATTCAAGCGCCAAAATGACCGGAGACTGGGTCGGGCACGAACTCGACCCACGAAAGCGACTAAGCCCTCGCCATGGCAGACCCTCTGATCTCGACGTTGCAAGCGTGCCGGTTTCCTCCATGCCAGCGTTCACATGGCCAAGCCTTTCAAAAGACCAATCCAATCGCGCCTCTCCCTTCTCACAGGTAGAGGGGATCTTCATTGCTACAAGTCATTGACTTGGGTCCTCCATTGAAAACTGGTTCTCGCGCATTTATTTCGAGAGCTGGTATTGTTCTGGTTTCGCTGATGTCGGATTTTGATTTTCGATAATGTCGGGATGGGGCCCGTTGGCGATCGGTTGAGTATTGCGTGCCATTTGGGTATGCCTTCGTTTCCCTTTTTTGGTTTTGTTGAAAAATATTTTTTCCACCGCCTGGACGACAATTATAGGATTGCTGCAAAAGAAAGCCCAATGACGTCTGCAGGATTAACGTCACCCAGGTAGTGCGTTTAAGGATTGTGGACTATGAGGAAAATGTTAGTCATTGTTCTTCCAGTGCTAGAATTTGAGTCAAGACAACTCACCAATCGATATAGTCGAGTCCACCGAAGTACTCCAACATGCGATAACAGAGACCAACATCGTCGCCCGGGACACCGCCAAAGAGACGATACTGTTCTGCCTCCAGCGTAGAAGCCTCCATCCTCAGCGCACGATCACGCTTCTGCCCTAGCAAATGCCCATAGTGCCAGGTCGGGGCGGGTATTTCAGGACAGTCGAAAGCGGAGGGAACAGCTGGAGCGCAGGTATTGACAGGTCGTGGGAAAGGGTGGGACGGAAGAAGTAGAGGATTGACGCTGCGGTTTCGAGATCGGGGTCGTGTGCGACGTCGATTATGTCTCTGGCCCATTCTCCGTCCAATCCGGCGAAAAAGAGGATATATAGCTTGTTGAAACTTTTTTATTCTTTTCGGGGTGTAGGTCGTAAAGGTGTAGTAGGGGAAGCGGGTATTTTTTCAAGACAATAGTCCCCAGTTATAAAGAGGGGATCTATTGTCCGAAGAAGTCTTTTTTTTATAATAAGACGATTAGAAAGGAAGGAGTGACCATCACCCCTGGGAAGGATGAGATGAGGTGAGGAAAAAACCCAAGCCAAGGGGGGATCAGGAGATCATGAAGCGGGAACATGCGTATATATAGATGTGGATGGCGGATGGAGAATGGCGCAACCCGAACGATTGCCGAAACGGGGAAAGCAGTGGTGTGACTCACTACATCCCAATAAGGTTACAAAGGCACAGAAAGCAGGACGAAAATCTTCACATCCGGCTCGGGGGGGATCCACTCAAGCATCCCCCTACTGTCGGGAGTGCCAACTCCACTCTGATGCAGTCTAGAAGCAGAAATACCTAACCCTGCTTGCCGATGGTGAAATGTGGTCTCATGGAGAAGGGCGATTGCGTAGTGATTTGGCTCGCACCAAATCATCTCTAGTGGCCCTACGGAGCACAAGGGCGCGACTCCGTAAGTACAAGAAGTTTCACGAATTAGGGTTCTCCTGAGTCACTACTCCCCGACAAAAAGTCTAGTTACTTAGTCTACTACTATTCTTGGTTATACCCTTTTTCTTTCTCTTTCCCTTGCCTCCTCCCATCGTGATGGAACCAGTAAGAACTATTCGCTGCCTTCCACAATGAGTGAGAAAATTCTGGTTCAGCCTAGCTGCCTAACACGAATAAAATCTTTAGTTCTGTGCGCCTGGCAAAGGAAACAGAAACAAAAGAAGAATTTTAATGCGGCCCAGTCAGTAGTACCCACGGTGCAACTTAATCGGAATAAACGGAATTATTAGACCATCAGGAGACGTTGAACAAAGGGTCAAAAGAGAACCGAATAAAGAATAACAAAAAATTAAAAAAATATGTCGTCAAATATTATCCCAAAATGCAGTGGTCTGACGCCATGTAGAAGGAGGTTCTCGGCCCCGAATGAGCCAAATTTTCTCTGCGATGAGCAAACAAGGTACTCCTGTTACAATACCAAAACCCGTCTCCGATGCCGCTGTCCCCAGTTGTGATGTCATGTGATCTCGATCGACATAGTTTTCTCTTAGTCATATCTATATCCACGCACTTTTCTTTTCTTTTTTGCAGGACCACATTTGAAACCCACGAGGACTCCGGTTACAACCACGCACCTTGCTCAAGCCGTTTCAGCCTGGCCGAGTGGCGAGGGGTGGATGCCGTACGGGCCGAGCGGGTATATGACGCGCCAAAATTACCTTGCATTAGTCGAGTCCAAGGCAGTTTAGTGTTCAATCACTTCAGTCAGTCAGGAGATGACAACAACATCCTACCCCGGCTGCTTCGGCAGCATCTTTCACTACGGAGCAAATCGGGCATCTTTTAGTTAAGTTGTCAAACTTGTCAGATTTTGTTTCCTATTTACTCCGCGCGTCGATCTATAGCGACATGGCTGATAGATGGTACTACTAGTAGTACTTAGATAGTACTAGCAGTAGTCTTTATTGTGCGGGAATCGATCAATAATTCTAGATCCAATTTTCCCTTTTTGTCGATCAATTGTTGACGGGACGGAACAACTAACTATACGGGTGCACCCTTTTCGATAATCCCAATAATAATAAATAATGCCTCAACACAGCCAAAACTGCATCAATAACATCCTACCCAACCAGCTCAACTAACTAACAAGGTATATCCCTCAAACTCATCAAATTCTCGCCCCCCTCCACAAATTTACTCACCTTGGGGGCAACAAAATTGAGGGAAAAATCTCTGCAGATCTCGGTACAAAAAAAGAAAAAAAGCCGCAAAAAAATTCTGCTTTGACCGACTTTCGTGGCTCTAATCCGGCTTTGACACATGTCCCATACTATACTCCTTTGGCATCGATAGTTATTCTCTGTGCAGCATGAGTGCTTTTTGTTTGTTCCTGGCGAACGGACCCGGACAAACCATTTGCGATATGCGACTACGTAGCGCGTGGCTGGCAAGCCATCTGGCAAGACAGGTTCTCTAGTAGGATGCATGCCTGAATATACTGCAGTAGTGGATATCAAAGTTTTACTGGCATCTATTTACTTAGGTTCTATGCCTGAATCACGGAGTAGAGTTCCTGTTCAAGTTGTTTGTTTATTGTTGGTTGGTTGGGTAGGTAGCTGCAGGGCAGACAGGATTGAAAGCAAACTGCGAACCTAGTACCACTGGCTTATACTAACTGATATATATGCATAGCTATAGCTATAGTATAACTACTATCCTACTCCAACCACAACCACGTAGTCCCAACGAACGTGGCCCATCTAAACATCACATCTACTTCGTCTTCACACTCGCAAACAAACCATCCTCTCCCTCTTTCTCACTCACTCACAGAAAGACAAAGCCCTATCGCACTAAACCAACCAACTAACCGACCCCCAAACTGTGTGTCCACTGTCCAGCTTCTACGTGGGCACACTGGAACTACGTACTAACTCATCCCATCTCCTTCCGTCTTCCCCGAGACTCCATTTCCAACACTACCTACTTACCGTCGGAGTCCCATTTTCTCTTCTAACCCCCGCAAATGGAGAACACGATGAACTAACTAACTAGCCCTGATGTGACCCATCCAAATCCTCCCCTCCCATCCCTTCCCCCTTTTACCACAGTTTGTTATTATTGTTTCTAGTGGTGGTGGTGGTGGTGGTGTTGTTGTTGTTGTTCACGCATGAATAACAAAAAGTACTACTACGTACTACGTACCTTGCAAGCCCTAGGGCACGGCAAACCTACTCCACCACCTCCACACTACTATCTACCGCCCCCTTTTGTGGCTTTTATTCACGATGGGGGCGTAAGGACTAAGAGAAAAAAATGAATATGTGGAGTTTTTGTGTGGGTGGGAAATCTTGGCTTGGAATGATCGTGGGTTTTCTAGACTGGGAGGGAAAACTACTAGGTCTAGACAAGAAGTTCGGGAGAGGAGGAAGGGATGGTGGATAGATGGGGGCGGTTATTTGCGGGATTGGGATGGGACGGAGACTTCGTTTGTGTGTTGTGTTGTGTCGTGTTGTTGCTAATATTGGAGATGAGGATGTGCCTGTGTATGTGTGCCTGAGACGGGAATGATCGTTTCATGTGGTGGTCTTTATTCGTGTTGTTGTTTCGGGGTTGGGTTGGTTCCTTGGTTGAGGATATGAGGTATGACAACTAATGGGTGGTAGTAGGTATCTACTAGGTAAGTGATGATGGATGGGATTTGCTTCTGGCCTACTGAGTACTACAGGTGTGGTAGATACTTTTCCCGGTTATCCAAGGAGAAAGGAGATGAGGATGGGAATGGGATACACACTACGTAGGTATGGAGGGTGGAAAAACGCCTCTGACGGAATCGAGACTGCTGAGGGGAATGAAGAAGATGGAGAGCATTCCCGTTCAGCAACCAATCATGCCATTTTGGTGCGACTCGGTAATTGAAGGTGGTACAGCAACGCTCCACACAAGCAGAAATGCGAAGAGGGTCTAGACTGGCTACATCATCGTCATACACTGACGGGAAATGGAGAAATTGTGAAACGAGAAGTCGCTCTTTGTCACCGCCAAGGCAAAATCGAATCGTTGACATGACGGCTCGGCTAATTGTCGATCCCGCGCCGGATGATCTCCAGCATTTCCTCGCCCTTTGGCGCCGTCGTCAGATTCTCATACCCTGTCCGAGTGACCAGGATGTCGTCTTCTATCCGCACGCCACCAATGGGAATGTATTTCTCGGCCTCCTCGAAGTTGATGTACTGCGCCTGAGGCAGTTTCCGGGTATTTGCCAGAGCCAGCTTGGAGAAGTAAACACCTGGCTCGATGGTGACCACCATGCCCTCCTCGAGCAAGGGTACTGACTGGCTCATGGCTGGGATGAAGTCAGGTCTGCAAGGTCTGTTAGGCAGCCCCATGCCCGTGATTGGCTTCTCGGACACGTCGTGGACTTCCAGTCCAACGTGATGGCCCAATCCGTGAGGAAAGAAAATGGCCGACGCCCCCGACACGCGAATCTCCTCCACGGTGCCCGGTTTGAGGACACCTAGCTTCTGCAAGCCCTTAATGGCTATGTCGTGGGCAAGCACCTGCAAGTCGCGGAACCGCACACCTGGCTTAATGCGCTTGATACACTCCTCCTGCATCTCTTCTACGATTTGGTAGACGTCGCGGGCATATGAACTGGGCCAATCGGCGGCCAAAGGAAAGGTGCGGGTCACGTCACTTGCGTAGCACTCCCACTCTGCACCTGCGTCCAGACAGACCAGCTGTCGTCCTTTGAGGGGCTCGTTGTTCTTCACATAGTGGAGGGTGGCTGCGTTGGGTCCCGAACCAGCAATGATTTCGTATGCTTGGTTCTTCGCTCCGTGCGACACGCAGGTGTCGAGGAAGAGGCCTTCGATCTGGGCTTCATTGGACATCTTGTGGATTTTCTCGAGCACTTTGCGATGGGCCAACCCGGATATCTTGTTGGCGTGGCGGATCATACGAAGCTCATAATCATCTTTAACCACCCGCGCCGCATCCATTGCGGGCAGCAAGCGCTGATCATCTAGGTTCAGCTGCCGGAAAATGAATTGGGGCTGCTGAGAGCTATGAAGGATGTAGACTGGAGCGGCATGATTGTATTTCTCTACCCACGACTGAATATCGCTCTGTAGGGAAGCATAGTAGCGCACTTTGTCTACGTCAAACCGCCGTTCAGCCTCGTCTGTGGTCAACGTGGGCCCCATCCATATTGCGCGGTGCAGGTCAAAGTCCGGAACATAGAGAACCAGTAAGTCATTGTTGATGTCGTAGGTAAGAAAGCAGTCCGGCTCATCGGCTCCACTAAGATAGTAGAAGTACCGTCGCTGTCGAAAGGGTTGTGGTTGGTCGGAATCGCCCCAATTGATGGTTGGTTTCCCAATCAGATAGATAAGGCCGCTGGACACACCCAGCTTCATTGCGACTTTGCGCGCATGTTGTTTGGCTGCGCCGGGACTCCCTGTTAGTCTTTGGGCGCCCCAGGATTAACGCAGGAGAAGAATGACAAGGCGAGGGAGGAAAAGAGTATATATCTTGGGGTCACAACATGAGACATACCTGGATACTTATCGATCCCTTCGCCGCGCACCGTTACGCTGATATCGCAGGCACCAAGGCTCGAGACAAGCTCCGGCGGGATTGAAACACGCATCCTGTTGCTTACCACGACCTACAGGCAGAAAGGGGATGGGAGGACCTATACAGACAGGCCTGTCACAGAGGTGAGGGACCTGAATGAAGGCACAGGAAGGGAGATAGAGGGACTGGAGGAGATAAGACAGCGCTTAGAAAGCGAGAGGAGGGAGAAAGAGGGCGAGGAATGACCGCCAGCGATAGCGTGTCTCTCTATCGGGTTTAGACAGGGTCTCCGGCGGAGTCCATCGGTCATGTATTATTACTGTCGTGGAACAGCTAAGATACCAGAGATAGGGTGTGACTGATGGCCTGGCCAGACTGTCCATACAGTATCTTACAGACAAGAGATACGTCTTTAATTGTGAGATGATTGAAGAGTGACGGATGATTAAGTTCCCTGATCAGGCATCCAAAGGGACTCTTGGAGTGTGCCTCATCCCTTTTCCCTGGACTGCTTGGGACCTTGCATGGTCAGTTATTTGGAGGGGACAACTTAGTTGGCCAGCAGACATATGTAGGAGTGTATTTGATCTCAAACGTGGCCCATCTAATTTCTGTATCTCCTTCAGGAGTTCACAACATGCCTTGAGTGCTGTCATCCGGAAGCATCGAGCGCATCGCCCGGAAGCGTCGCTGCCTTTTCGCCCCCCACATGCGCCTCTCTCAGTCTCTCTCTCTCACTCTCGTCCTGGGCTTCTGCTTCTGGTTTCTTGGTTCCGACCTCCAACTCTCCCCATTTGAAACTCCCTCATCATCGCTCCTCATCTCTTTCCCACTCCTCTGCAACTTTCCCATCTCTCATTCCTTCCCTTCCCCTACGCCTTTCATCTACCCGCTATTTCCCTAGCGTCGCTTTCCCTCCTTATCTCATAACATTCAGCTTAGCGTTACCATCTCTCCGCCAGCGAGTCCGTGTCGACGCAACATCTCCAACCAGTCAATGAACGATGCGGGGATCTGAGGCATCGGGGCCCGGTGCTCTCTTTGATGCTCCCTCGACTCTTGCCACGTCCCTTGGAATCAATCCCACCGCTGCTCCTGAACCCCCTCCGACCGATCCCAAATTAGTCGCCTCCAACATCGAGCAAGTCTTGTTGTCCATGTCAGAAGGCAATGGCGGTCTAGTTAGCGTCAGTGGCAACTCGTCGGGTTCTACCGGCAAGGGTATCCTGATAGGCGTCCTCTCTGCCTTTGGGTCCGCTGCCGTTGCAGTGCTTGTACTCGCCGTCTTCTTTTTCTTCAAATACACTCAGCGTGGTAGAATCATTCTCGATCGCATCGGCCGACCGGGTGAATTCGACGATGAACAAGCGTTTGCGCGCGAGGAGGCGGAAGCCTTGGAGACGATGGATGATCTCACGCGATCGGAGTATATGAGAGCGAAGGGTAAGTCACCGGCTCTTTGTCCATTCTCTTGGGCGAACGACGACCATGGGGTCTTGTCAAGCATGACGTATGTGCATTTGTCGCTAATACAACTACAGCCTTCATCGAAGCCAATCCGCCCGAGTCCGTACAAACCGACATATCGCTCTCTCAATTCCTCGCGATACAAGAAAAAGGAGTATCGGCTTGGGAATTCCAACCAGAGCTGGAAATTGCCAATTGCTTTGTTGAAGGCCGTACGGAAATCGAGTTCTACGACTCGGAATGCAGCGTCCAGACCAATTTGCCTGTTCCGAAACAGAATGACGTCTATTACTGGGAGGCTAAGATCTACGACAAACCTGATAATACTCTTATCAGTATTGGGATGACTACGAAACCGTATCCCTTGTTCAAATTACCAGGTGCGTCTTTGGGTGTCTCGTTGGGGGGAGATACCGGTCATCCCACGGTCGCTAATTTGTTGCTTATGATGTCAGGCTTCCACAAGACTTCGGTCGCATACCAGTCCACGGGTCATAGGAGGCACAACCAGCCGTTTGCACCAACACCATATGGTCCTCACCTTCTGCAAGGTGATGTGATCGGCGTAGGGTATCGGCCTCGCTCGGGTACGATCTTCTTCACTCGCAATGGCAAGAAGCTGGAGGACGTCGTTCACGGTCATAAAGCGCAAAACTTCTTCCCCACTGTTGGAGCCAATGGGCCTTGCTCTGTCCATGTGAACTTCGGTCAGATGGGTTTCGTGTTCATCGAGGCCAACGTCAAGAAATGGGGTCTGGCCCCTATGACTGGTAGCCTGGCTCCGCCTCCGCCTTACGGCAGCGAGCAAGGCAGTATCCTACTAGAGTCGGGTCGGGAGAGTGCAGCTCAGATTTCCCAACGGGTTTACCAGGATGCCAATAATGCACGCACCAGTTCGACTGTCCGTGTTGCGCCATCTGCCAGTCCCGGCCCTGTGCGGTCACCCACCGACATTTCCTTGGCTCAGCTTGCCCACATCCCGTCGAACGAGGACGTTGGCGAAGGATCCAGTCGAACCAACGTCGTCGATGGTGAGCAAGTCCCCTTGTTGCATACAGACGATCTCGACCAAGTCCCACCTCCCGAGTATTCCAGTCCGGACGGCAGTCGGAGAGGCAGCGAAGACCTACACTCTGACGAACAGCCTCCGATACCTAGCTACGACGCTGCTGTTGGCAACCGCGACGGTCACGGCACGCATCCTAACGAGACTCCTTGAAAGGCGACCGAGGTCCCGCATATATTGTTATCGTTTATCCATCAGTTATTGGCGCAGCGTCTCTTTGATGTGTATACGGCATGTTTCAGCCACTGGTTCTATTTCTACTACTGTTCCCTGATTTTAGCGGCCACGGTCGGCGTTCCACAGGCGGGATTCTACGGGTTAGGTTTCACGGTTACGCCGCTAGACGTGGCAATGATGAATTTTACGTATATAGGGTCTGGTCGTTTCTGTCTTCATTTGTCATTTGGAACAATTGTGTCGGTTGAGGTCGTGGGCACCTTGCAGGGCTGAATCCCGTAAAGCTCACGTTCCCTTCGAGTTGAGGCAGTTTGGCAAGGGTCTTCTCAGCCTTGATCGACCGAACGAGAGGACAATACTGTTCCAATGATAACCTTGTTTTCTTGCGCAATTCGTGTCAAAAATGGGTGCTATTGAACTGGGTGGATTTATCGCGGTGTTTGTCTGGGAGTACATTTTATCATGGCTGAACACATACAGTGGCTATTTATATCATTCCTTGTCTGCGCTTCCCTGTATCTTCTTGTGTATGTGTAGCAATCGAGTGGTCATCTGCCTCTTGCGCCGCTGTATAACCAGCGGCAATGAAATATTTTACATCAAGAATATGGGCAATCAGGTAGTAGCACGGCGTATTTTAACCAAGTAAGTAGCCAGTAGATCGTAGTTCGTAGAACCGGTCCATCCATTGCCCCATTCCCCCACATGTTCGACCCAATAAATGTTATTCATCATTACTGCTATCTCTTTAGCTAGTATTATACTAACTGTATCTATAATTATCCAGTGATATACAGCGCTGGGATTATTTCCGGGAACAAGGCTCTTTCTCAGTCCCTCTGTTGCTCCTTCCGCAACCAGCGCGTCATCGATCAGTGCCAGTCAGTGACTACTTACTCTCTGCTCAACCTCCCTCCCCCAATCTTTCTCTTCCATCATCATGTTCCATCCTTTCTCATCCTCCACATTGCATTTCTCCGTTCGCACGCAAGATATGCATCTCCAAATACCCACTAGACGACGTCCACCGGCACTGCATCGCACGATTATCTTCGTCCATCTTCCATAGGCTGATTCGACTGACTTTGCTGGTTATCTTCTCTTAACGCATATGATAGAGTTTCTGTTCCTCCCTTGTCCCTTGGCTGGTCCTCGTACTGCAATGGCTCACCTTCCCTGCTGCTTTTCTCGGTCGGACATTGCCTCCCATTAACCTTATCTTCTCCAAGTTGAATCACTCAGCAGATTTGAAGCAACAACAGTCACCAATATATTGACTTCACACGAGTCATTCGTATAACAGTTACTTCTCTCACTTTAAACAATACCTCTTATCACTCATTGGCTCCTAAACAAGCTCGCTCAATTTTGCTTTTGCCGCCAACGGTGATTTCCGACTTCCCCTCCAGTCACTGAATCATCTGTTCAGCCCCGGCCGTTAGCGTGCTGCAGGTGCCCAGTGGCGAGCGAGTGACCGCCAACAACTGGTGCGCTAACTGGCCTGGTGCGACGCAGTTTTGCCCCAGATTCACGGGGAAGTGCCGCCCCCAACAGTGGACGCGCTGGGGGTTTGGCAACCTTTTGTCGCATAGGCCTGGCTGCCAGCCTGACCGCTATCTAGGTTGAAAAGCATCACGCAGCTCTCCAAGAAGAACGGGGAAAGTTTCTTCACCTCATCCTCACCACACCTCTCGACTTGACGTACACTAAATCGAGGAAGTTACAGCCGCCCACAGCCACATCTGCACAATCAAGCGAGGGTGGTGTGCATTCAATATCTGCGCTCAGCCGCCCTAGGTGGAGTATATGCATTTTGGCCCTTGCTTATTCTCCGACCAGATACGCAGTGCAACAACGGCGATAGTTTCCAGTTTGTGGGAACTGCTTTATAGCTTCATTCCGATAAAAAGCGTAAGGATCGCCTGGCCCAGATCCTTGGGGGTATCCACACAAGGTCCGGCCGCTACCCCAAGTGGTTCTCTGAAAAAGGGCTAGAGTTCGTCCGGAAGGGCTATTTTACTGGGAGTCCAACACATCCCATCGATTGCTGGTTCAATTGATGCCCTGGCGACTTTTGCCTTGAGCCATCTTCACACTCAAGATGCAAGAGTCTGAATTGCCTTTTGTAGGCGCAAACCCTCCAGAAGCAGCTGGCCAAGGAGATGGACCCGGTCCTCCAAGTCTGCAGATAATCGTGCTGGTAAGTTTTGTCTCACATGCTGTGTTTGTCAGTCCCGTGTGGCCATGACGTTGTTCTTTACACACATGATTGCGAACCCTGAAAGTCTGCCTACTGGCGAGTCCGATCACTAGCATCGATGCGCCATGTCTCACACTTCTCCCCGCGCCATGTTCTCGATCTCTCACTACACCTCAACCCATTTCATCGCTGGCGAGTTTCGCATTCAAGGTCGACCACTAACGCTTCCCTTGAAAGGGTCCGACAGGAGGTCCCCGTGAGGATAGAGTCACTGGACTTCTGGTCCGATCCACATCCACCAAATGGTCCGCAAACTCGATCGTAGCTGTTGATGCGGGCACCCTTCTATGTGGCATAATCGACACTTTGGAACCATGTGATAATAACCAAAAGTCGTCGGATCAGGGGCCATTTGCTGGGCTCGAACTGCCACATAACAATGTACCAGCAAATGCAGCCCATGTTTTCCGGCATATTATCGGCGCTGTCTGCATCACACATCCTCATCTAGACCACCTGTCAGCGTTTGCCATCAACACTCCAGTTCTGGAGGCTGGAAGTGGCGCGAAAACGTTGGCCGCCCTGCCTTCGGTGGTTGCTGCCATTAAGACTCACGTGTTTAACGATGTGATTTGGCCAAACCTCTCTGATGAGGATGGCGGTGCTGGCCTTGTTACCTACCAGCGACTAATGGAGGGCGGAAACCCCATGATGGGGCGTGGTGATGAAAAAGGCTATACGCGAGTCTGCGAGGGCTTGTTGGCAAAATGCCTGGCTATCAGTCACGGGTGTTGCAGGCAGAGATCAAGCGTCGACAATGACATTCAACGCCGGATGAGCAGCGCCCCTTTTGGTGTTGACCCAATGAGATTGAACCCAAGGGCGTATTCGATGTCATTCGACGAGCCAGAGACCGGCTACTTTTCCGGAGCACGTTCGCCAGGCTATCGCGTACCCGGCAAGGATGGCTGGGCCACCGTGGAGTCGTCAGCTTTCTTCATCCGTGAGCCTACGACAAAGCGAGAAGTGATCATCTTCGGCGACGTTGAACCTGACTCGATCTCAATGAATCCACGCAACAGACGCGTGTGGGAAGCAGCAGCACCGAAGATTGTTGCCTCTCAACTGCGAGCGATCTTCATTGAATGCTCCTATAACGATGATGTTGACGATGCCTCCTTATACGGCCATTTGTGCCCACGTCACTTGATCGATGAATTGATTGTTTTGGCACAGAAGGTTACAGAATTGAAATACCCAGATTCGTTTTCGATAAGAAAACGCAAACGTGCAAGTGCCCCCGAGGCAGCCGGCGATCCAGCTCTCAGTCCCAAGTCAAAGAAGGCTGCTCTCGCTGGCGAGAAAAGTGGAGGAGGCTCTCGTCGGGGATCGGCCAGGACGTCACGTCGCCATACGCGTGCCAGAGTTGCTGTAGAAGACATTGACGAAAACATGGAAGGAAGCCCAGCCGTTTCCCACGCTCCGAGCGAAGTTGGTATGGATGTGTCGCTGGCAGAAAGTTCAGACCCTCTCACGGTGCTCCAGTGGCCAGAACCACCTCTGACCGGACTACTGGTCTATATCATACATATTAAGGACGATATGAATGATGGCCCACCTCCTCAGGAGCGGATCCTGCAAGAACTCAAAGCCCAGGGACAAGCTGCTGGACTAGGATGCGAATTTCGAGTCCCCACACGTGGCGAGAGCGTCTTGATCTGATGTCGGTTACCGCAAGTCCAGCATGGCTTGTCTACTTTGCACCGAACATGTCCGGTGCTCCTTGCTTCTTGTGACACCGAACCATGCAATAGAGGGGGACATATCAACGGGCTATATCTATACATGACTGTGGACCATGTCCCATGAATCCAGTTCTTATCTGGGGGCCTTGTCTGCAGAGATGATCCTTAGTGCATCTTTCCCTTACTTTTCCATTCCTATATGTTCTATCCTACTTCTCTTGTTCTATCTTTGGCGCGGCTTTTGTGAGCAGATTTATCTCTCGTTTACCCTTTTGCTATTGCATCATGTGATTTAGCAGATACCACCGGTGCAATCGAACATATTGTCATTAGAATCAGAATTATTAATCCCTGGTCACTATGGCATGGCTATTTAGAGTGACCACAAGACAGTCATAAACACCGTAACAAAGTACCAGTAAATAATCCCGGAAACAACCACCAACTCATATCCTAAGAGCTCATCTCCTCTCCAGCCTTAGCAATAACATCCTCCCAAGCGGCCCCCTCTCCCCTGGGAACCGTCAACCCCGAGTTCTCCTCACCCTCACCCTCACCACCATCAGTAGCAGCAGCAGCAACCCCACCCAAAACACCCTCCCCATCCCTCGCAAACTCAATCAACTCCTCCTCACTCCCCCACTCCCCCATAGCCATGACACCCACGGGCACCCTCCTTCCACCATCCACCACATCATACCCAGCCGGACAACTAATCGCCGGACAGCCCGAGAAATTCGCCAACCAGACATACTCCATATTCCTGACCGTAGAATTCCCATCCGACACTCCACGCTTCAGATCCGCTTCGCCGCCCGCAATCTTCCACCCCGGGATCGGCGTCGTCGGCGTGACGATCATCAAGCCAGGGTGTTTCTGGAACAAGTGAGCCAGATGCGTCATGAGGCAGTTACGGAGACGTTGCGCCGCGAGGAAATCCTGGCCTTTGATTTGCCACATGCCCATTGAAGCCATTACTTTGTTGGCGGGCGTGAGGTGCGAGATCTGGGATGGGGTGAGGGATGAGGTTA